GGAGGGGTTGGGTTGGGTGAGCCGTGTCCTGCAGGCCAGTTCTGGGGCGTCAGTCATTAGCAATCCTGGCTGGCAAAGTGAGAAGGGAATGCTCACACTTGTAGCTCCGAGTCATGGAATTCCAGGATGGTTTGGGTTGGAAGGGACCTTAAAGGATGCGTTGTTCTACCTGCTTCCATGGGCAGGGACACCTTCCACTAGCCCAGGTTGCTCCAAGCCCCATCCAACCTGGCCTTGGACACTGCCAGGAATGGGGCAGCCACAGCTTCTCTGGGCAACCTGTGCCAGGGCCTCCCCACCCTCCCAGGGAAGAGTTTCTTCCCAACATTCCATCTATCCCTGCCCTCTGGCAGTGGGAAGCCATTCCCCTTGTCCTGTCTCTCCAGGCTGTTTTTCTAAGTCCCTCTCCAGCTCTCCTGGAACCCCTTCAGGCTCTGGAAGGGGCTTTAGGTCTCCCTGGATCCTTCTCCAGGTGAACACCTCCAGCTCTCCCAGCCTGTCTCCAGAGCAGAGGGGCTCCAGCCCTTGGAGCATCTCCATGGCCTCCTCTGGATTTGCTCCAACAGCTCCACATCCTTGTTATGTTGGGACCCCAGAGCTGGAGGCAGCACAGCAAGGGGGGACTCACCAAGTGGAGTAAAGGGGGAGAATCCCCTCCCTCACCCTGCTGCCCTCACTGCTCTGAAGGAGGTGCTTTCTCATCGTTGCATTTTCCCAGCTCATGAGGCTGCAGGGAAAGCATTCCTGGACACTGCTGAGGGCTGAGGGCAGGGATCCACCCTGGCAGGGAGGCTTTTTGACTCTGGGCCCTCCCCACTCTCTGTTCTGCTGCCAGTGCTGTGGACAGGGCTGGGTGTGTGCCCTGAACCACATCACTGTCCTGCAGCTGCCTGGGATCTCTCTCAGCCCCCCTTCACCTTGGGATTGAAGCTTTAAATGACTGTCCCATCCCTTGTTGAGGAGAGCTGGGAATGTGCCTGTGGATCATGGCAGCAGATCAGTCCGGGACAGGAACTTTGAAATTCCTCTTGGGCTGATCCCATGGAATCCTCTGCCCAGCTTTGTTTGCAAGCACATTTTGGGGGTAGAAACCCCATTTCAAACATCCATTTGTAAAGACTTGATAAGAACAAGTTTTGTTCCCTAAACTGAGCTTAAACTGTGTAGGTTTTTTTTCTGTTCTGTGCTCAGTTGCTGAGTGGTACCAGGGTGTAACTGAGTGCTGATAGCAGTGATCTGGGAGGGGTTTATCCCCTGGGAAACATGGAACAGAAGGCAAACTGTCAATGCTTCCTCTGAAGAGTTCTGGCCTGTTTGATGATTCCTGGTTTTGGAGGAGCTCCCTCCACTTCCCGTGTTCCTTTCTGAAATCCAGGTGCCTCTGTGCTGAGTGTGGAGGAATGGGCAGTTTGAAAGAACTCTAGACTGGGAGAGAGAAAGGATTCTGGGGCAGGATTTTGCTACAGGAGGAGGGTGGCAGAGCAGTCCTGACCCAGAAGTGGGGACAGAGGTGTGAAAACCTTCAAACTCCCAGCCCTGAGTCGTCAAGAACAGCAGAGAGTAAAGAGGCTGGAGTCATCCCTTGTGTCCATCAGCTCATCCAAGGTGCTTCCCCCTCCAGCTGGGATGCTTCTTACCCCCCAGGGTTTTGGGAAGGTGTTTGGCCTGTCAGAACTTTCCTGTTAAAGGAGTGTGAGGAAACAGGGATGATGTGCTTAGAGTTGCCATCCTGCAGTCGCAGGAGACAAGAGCTCATTCCTGGAGTGGCTTATTCCATAAAAGGGGGGGAAACTGTGGCAAGTTTAGAAGCTTGTTGAAAAGAAAGTGGGCAGCTGACAGTGGAAAATGTCTCTCTTGTCTCCTGCAGGCAGGGAAACAACTGGGGAGACAAGTAGGAAGCTTAGAGCAAACAGGATATCGGGCTTGTAGAAAGGAAAAAGCCGCTGTGCTCGAGCGGGAGGTGAAAGGGAATGTTAGAAATAAGAAGACGTCTCTCAAAAAGTTGAAGTTGTCTGAATGAGGAAAGTGGGGCAAAAAAAGAATGTAAATCCTGCCAGGCTGAAAGTAAAACCCCAGTAAGACAGGAGCAGTAAGACAGCTTGAGGAGCAACTTGCAAAAGCATGAAATCCTGTTTATTCATTTTCCAAGCGTATCAGACAGAAAGTCTTTCAGGGTCAGTAGCAGATCAAGGTAGAGAAAAAGCACTCTGAGAAGATAAATCCATAAGGGAAGAAAGAAGTGGCTGCCTTTGTGTTTGCTGGGGAGGAATTTGGGTTAGTTCTGTCCCAGAACCCTGCTTTTTGGGGAATGGCTCCAATGGAATCTGTACAAAGAGCAGCCTTTAACTTGGAAAAGAGGGGTGGGTACATGGAGCTGAGGGGGACAGAAAGGAATAGAATCATAGAATGGCCTGGGTTGGAAGTGACCTTAAAAATCCAGCCAGGTTCTACCCCCTGCCATGGGCAGGGACACCTTCCACTAGCCCAGGTTGCTCCAAGCTGTGGCCGTGGACACTTCCAGGGATGGGGCAGCCACAGCTTCTCTGGGCAACCTGTGCCAGGGCCTCCCCACTCTCAGAGGGAAGAGTTTCTTCCCACTATCCCATCTAACCCTGCCCTCTGGCAGTGGGAAGCCATTCCCCTTGTCCTGTCAGCCTTTGGAAATAGTCTCTCTCCATCTTTCCTGTAGCTCCTTCAAGTATTGAAAGGCCACAATCAGGTCACCCTGAAGCTTCTCTTCTCCAGGCTGAACAATCCCAATTCTCTCAGCCTTTCCTCACAGCAGAGCTGCTCCATCAGTTTGATTATCTTAGTGGCCTCCTCTGGAGCTGGTTTCCTGCTTTTCCCAGTATAGGATGGGATCAGCACATCAAATTAGGAATGGGTTCAAAGCAAACCCACATAAAATCTCCAGAATATTGTAAAATGTTCATGTTTTATTGGTGTTCAGAAATGAATTGTGTAAACTCATGGAAAAAGTCCAGCAGGAGCTGCTCAACACCTGTGCCACTTTTGGCTTAACAAATTCCAGAGGTGAGCTGATCCCAGAGTGCTGGGATGCTGGTCTGGAGATGCCCTTGGCCATCTGAGCAGTGCCAGGGAGCCTGAGCTGTGGAACATCCTGTGACTGCTGGGTTTATCAAAACCACCCCTAAAGTTAATTACCAGCAACAGGAATTATTTGAGAGGAGTTTATAGGTGCATTTTTTTTCCCTGATCTCCATCCTTTCTCTTCCAGGTGCTGTCAGAACAGAATTTTGAGTCCTTAGTGCTTAAACATTGGTTACTAATACTCATTTTTCTCCCTTTTCAGACAGTTTTTAATCTGTGCTCTGAGAGGTAAGTGGAGGTAGCCCTGTGGAGCAGGGTGGTCGTGCTGGTGGGATGGGGAGGTTTGTTTGGCCCCTCTGACTCCACCAGGTTCTGCCTTTAGGGTTCATTATCACCATATTCCCTTGGTAAAAACCTTCTATTCCTGGTCCAGAGGGTTCAGGAGCCAAACCTGGCTCTTCCTGGTATATCTGGAGGCTTGTTTGGGTAGTGCAGGTGAGGTAGTAGCATAACACTATAAATAAATAAATGTGATTTTTCCATACTTCCCTGTTGATCTTTTGGCTTCAGGGATCAGAGGAAGCGGCTCCAGACGTTGGTAGAAAACAAGTTCTATGAGTGGCTGGTGCAGACGGGGAACCGGCAGCAGCTGGACAGCCTCGTCCCCCTTGCCATGGGATCCAAGCAGGCAGCAGGATAACATCCCAGTCCTCAGCACAGAAGGAGAGGAAGGGTGAGTGAAAGGCCTGTTCCTCCTGGTTCTTCTCTACCTACAAGAACTGTTTGCGTGCACGGCCAAGGCAGAGGCACCAAAAGCAGGAGGCTGTTCAGTGAATGTTCTCCCCAAAGCCTTGCATTTGGTTTTAGTTCTTATTTTACTGTCAAAACCCCCTTTTTCAGTGGAAATCTGTGTCCTCAGCACCTGCCTTGTTGTTAAGTTTGGTTTGTTGGAGACATCTGTAAAGGCACAACATGGGCATGTTGCACATAATGGGATGTCCAGCTGGTTGGAATAGCTGCTCTTTCAAAGGAACTGTGTGGATTGATGTCTATTTACCCATCTCACCTTTGCTAAAGAGAATTAGGTGAGACTGGCTAATTCTTACAGTGAAACTTTGGCTAATTCTTGCTTTGTAGTGCCTCTTCCTGAGCAGAAGTGGTTTAGGAGCTGGAGATCTGCCCTTATCCTGCTTCTCTGCCGTGACGTGTTTCAAACCATTAGAAAGTTGGTTTATTTTTGATTTGGTCTCTGAATCCCTTTTTCTTTGCTAGTGTTAGGAGTAAAATGTGCTCCTTTTATTTTGTTCCAGAGCTCAGGGAACAGGCAGCAATACTCCCAGCCCAGTTCTCATTAAGACTTTGTGGCCGTCCTGCCTGGACCCGCTGGATCCAACACCCAGCCTTGCACTGTCTGGCTGCTTTAGGATTCCTGATCCCTGCTGCCTTCCCAGGAATGTGCTGTAGTTATCCTGTTGGTGACTGAGATGGCACTGGAGGATGATGAGTTGTGCCTTGTTGTAGAGCTGTCCTCATGGTGGGTGTCCATGTGTGCGGGTGTCCAGCACACCAGGGATGCTGGGACAGAGCTGGATGCAGGGCCCTGGGCATCACCTGCATTTCACGGTACAAACCAGCTGCACTGCTTTTAGAAATGTGAAAAAGAAGTGTTTTATGATATTTTTATGAATGCAATCTGGTAGGTTTTTTAATATGAAGCATTAAGTGATGGGGTTTTTATGGGATGAACTTTTGTAAGCGCTGGGATTTTGTGGAATGAACTTTTGTACATGGTTGCATTGTTTTGACAAATGTCAATAAACCAGAGTTCTTGGATAAACCTGGCACCTGTCCTAGGGGAGGGGTGTTACCTGTACAGTGGGTGTTAGAGAGACACAACACCTTTAATCTTAATGAAATGGGAACCAGTCAGTGAGAGAAAAATCCTGATTTCTTGCCAGCTGAAGGGTTCGAAGGCTGCCCTGGCTCAGGGTTTTGATACAAACACTGTTGCTGCTTTCCATATTTCTCATAAAGAATATCAGCTTGGCTAAGCACCATTCTCCTGTGCTGGTGGGAGCTGTTCTAGGAGATGTACTTGTAGCTGAGCACCTAAATAAACTCAGAAAACAGGGAAAGGCATTGCATGGATGAGTGGAAGCAGCAGCTGGTGGTGCCTTTGGAAGAGCTCTCCAAGCTGAGAGCCAGAGGGAGGCACAGAGGTCTGTGTGCACAGCTTCAGAATCCTTCTGAAGGTCTCCCTTGGCTCCTGGGCTGGCAGGTGAGGTGAGTTTATTATATTTCTTATATTCATGTGAGGTGAGTTTATAAGATTTAACCAACTTTTAAAGGAGGGATGTGCGAAGAGACCACACCTACTGATAGGACCTGGCTCGTGCTTGAACTGTGATCTTCCTAAAACAGCATTTGGGTTCAAAAATGAATAAATTCAAGTGAGAGCAACAGCAGTGGGTGATTGGAGGCACCTAAAATGGGAAGAGGAGCTGCTCTGGGCATGTGTGCCCCGGGCTCTCAGATCTGCCCGCATTGAGCGGAGCTGCTGTTGCGAGAGTGCTTGTCCTGACAGATTTGAAAGAGGGGCTGCGTGTTTCGGGCGCTGCTGTGCCAAATTCGTGTCCCTTTGTCTCCCTAAGCCTTTGGGCTGGGGCACTGAATAGCTGCAGAGGTGGTTTTTCATAATGCCCTGGCGGGGGGGTGGGTGTGGGTCAGCCAGCCAGCCGAGGCCTCCCCGCCCCCGGAGCGTGGCTGCAGGGAAAACGCCTCTGCTCCAGCCTCGGGTGCTGGGGGGAGAGTTTGGAGTTGGATTTGTGGCACCTGCAGAGACAATCAGGAGTTTGGGCAGCATTCTTTACTGTGGGATGTGTGGGATCACTCGCCACACATCCTTTCCCTCTGTGTCAGGTGCTGTTGGAGCACTGTGGATCAAGCTGAGGGTGTCCTGGGGAAAGCTGCACAGATGTTTCCACTGAGAGCTTTCAGTCTGTCAGTGCAGGGCTGTGCTTTGCAAGCCTGTGGCGTGTGCCCTGAGCTCGTGTTTGTTATTCCTTAACTGCATCCTTCGCTGCACAGAACATTCCCTGAGAAATACTGTGTCCCCTCCTTAGGAATGGGGGTGGTCCCTTCGATCCAACGAGGATTCCTTCTGCTTTAACAAGCTGGGAAGGGAGGGAGCAGCCAAACTACCCCCCGTGCTCCCGGGCTTGGCAGGGGGCTGCGTGTTTTGAGTGCGTTTGGCAGAGTTTTGGTGTTCTGACTCAGCAAATGGTAACAAAGGGAGGATGGCGAAGCCTTCCTTTATTCCATAATCCTGTTTGCTTTTCTGGAAATCGGCTATAGCCTCAGAATCACTGACTCAATTTTTGGATCCTATTCTCATGACAAAGCGGCTGTCTGGTTTAAAACAAGCCCGTTATAAAAAGGGCACCTCGGCTCCTGGCTGTTTGTAACAGCTCCTGACGTTCCTCCGGCACAGGGGAGCTTGGCTGGAACGGAAAATGTCCAGAGCTGGAACCAAGGTAAGTTGATTTGCAGTATATTCATCATTTTGGATAAAAGCTCAGAATTTATCAGGGATAAGTTGTGGAGAAACTTTGTTTTCCTCGCTGTGCTGACAGCTTCCCCCTCTGCCAGTGGGTGGGCAAGAGGAGAAGCCTCAAATCCCTCCTCACGTGGAGGGGAGCCCCTCCCAAGTCTTTTCCCAGGTTTTGGCTGGTTCCTCTGGGTGGGGCTCTGCCAGAGGATGGAGTGCAGTGACTGGTGAGGGGACATGTTAAAATGGTTTGAAATCAGCAGGAGCTGATGCCTTGTAAACTGGGGGCAGAGGGCACTGGGCCAGCAGGGAATGCGACGAGCTGGGTTTGCAGAGCGGAGTCTCCTGGAAGGCTTCCTTGGGAGAACCTGACTCCCAACAGCTGCAGCAGCTGCCACATCCCTCTTCCATGGTGGAGCAACAGAAAGAATCCTGAACGACGGCCGTGGCACCAAAGGGAATAGCATTCCCTGTGGGATGTGAACCGGCCTTGGGATTTGGTGGAATCGGCAGGGCTGAATTTAAACCGGACAAGGAGGTAGATCAGGAGGCTCAGCTTCAACTGGAGTGCTGTGTCAGGTGGGGATCCAGGTCTGGTGCAGTGTTCCTCAGCCTTGAGTTGAGCAGAGGTGGTTGGTGACCTCGTGGCAGGGTTGGGACCGGGCAGGGAGGAGCAGCTGGGACAGGGAAGGAGGGTGAGAGCCTCGGAATGGTGGCCAGTTTCCCCCATGGAATGTCAAACACCTGTTAAGAAGCTGTGGGCAGAGGTTCTAAGTTTTGCTTTTGGTTTGGATTCCTTGTAACCTGTGGAGGCTGGAAGACCGAAGGGGGTGTGGGAGGCACAGTGGGTTTGCAGGAACCGGGCGATGCTGTGGAAGATCCGGATTCAGTCTCGGCTTCTCCTCGTTCCTCTTGGCTCTGCCTTTGGCACAAGGCTTGGCTGTTAGTCTGGAGATCCGAGGAGGGTGTGCTGGTGGCTCTGGGGTCTCAGAGGTACAGTCTTTCTGTACCTGTGCCTAAAATAACTGCGAGGGAATTGTAACTGCTCCATCCTGGAGTCTCCCGTCCCTTGGAGAGCCTTGAGCACAGTCTGCCCGAAGCTGTGTCCCCTCCCAGTGTGCCACAGGAATCCATGGATTATATGCTGCCGAGGTGCAGCAAGGTGCCCAGGAGGAGTTATCTTTTCTCTATTCCATGCTCTTGTTTAGCACATTCCAGGGAGAAGAAAAGCACAAAGGAGAGAATTAAACACCATTTCTCACAACCTCAGCGAGTGATCTGCCCTGGAGAGGGGTCACTGCTGGCACAGAAGGCAGTGGGCACTATTAGATTTGTTTTTAAGAGTTTCCTTCCAGCTGAGCTGCTGTTGGGAAGAAATATGTGATAACTGAAGTGAGGTGACCTAGGGAGTAAGAGTTTTACTCCCATAAGGAACTCTGCTTCGGCAAATGTGGCACCTGCCAGGTAAGCCCCAAAAGGGAAGGTTTGGGTAGGGAGAGGTTTTTAAGCAGAGCACCTTGAGGGTTTTACTGAAGGAAGGTGATTTGCCTGGGAGTGAGAGACTGGAATTGAAATCTCTAACTGTGTCATTATTCTACGGGTGAAAACATCAACCTGCTCCTTTTGTGCCTGAATCCCCGAGGAAAACTGGGATGAGAAGGTCTGAGATGAGTTGAGGGTGTGTGCAAAGGGCTGTGGTGGAGAACGGGTGGGCAGGATTCCCCCTCTCCTTAAGTCTTCCCAGAATAAACCAAGGAGCAGCGCTTTGGTTGGTCACAGTTCTGTGGGAAAAGCCTTGATGTGCTCTTGGAAAATGGTCTCCTGGGAACACCAAGGAGCTTTGCCAAGGTCCAGTTTGGCTGCGTTAGGCTGGGTGGGGAAGGAACATCATTAAATCCCGGAATGGTTTGGGTTGGAAGGGATCTTAAATCCCATCCAGTCCCACCCCCTGCCATGGGCAGGGACACCTTCCACTAGCCCACGTTGCTCCAAGCCTCATCCAGCCTGGAGAAGGACACTTCCAGGGATCCTTCTGCCTGGAGACCAGACCCATGGTCTTACAGATGTTGGGCAGAGCTCGTCGACAATGCTGGACACTCTGCATGGACAAGGGTGGGACTGTGGAGCAGAGCTTGGAGAATGAGTTTGGAGAGGGGGAGAACTCCTCAGCCATCCCAGTGGCAGATAATGGGTGAGCTGGGAAGAGATGGATCCCTGCAGGGTTTTACAGGGATGCTGTGGCTTCCTTGACCCCTGGCTTCAGGAAGAGGCTGATGCTGAACCTCTGTGAACAGGGCTTTTGGGGTTGCCTCTGGGTCATGCCAGCAGATTTTCCAGATGACACCTCTGGGGACAAAGATCCAGAAACAGGACCTGGAAAATGGCAGCAGGTTGTGGCTGGGAAGGCCTGGCCGTGGTCAACTGCCCAGGAGTGGCAGTGTGGGAAAACGGGAGCTGGGCATTGCAGTGCACACCTGTCACAGCCTTTATTCCCTGCAGGAAAGGTCGTAGTGATTCCCAGCTCTCCGTTGCGCGAAGGTGGGAAGAGCTCGCTCAGGAGGGAAAGATCTGGGGACAGGTTGTTTTGTACTCACCAACTCCTGGGAGATCAGTCCTTGAAATTAAGAGGAAAATGTGAGGGAAATAACATTATCCCAAGAAATGTCCACTGACATGAATCCTCTGGCAGGGTCAGTCCGACTCCCCAGATACCTGGTCAGGCTGGTGGGACACCCTGACCAACCAGCTCCAGGAAAACTGTGGCTGACTTAATTCTTAGCACAAAATAAATGATTAAAAATAAAAAGCGAACGAGTTGTCCCAGATTTGGGTTGGAACCATGACAATGAATGATGTTTTTAAGAGCGGGGCTGTTACCAGTAGCCAAAGCACCATGGGTGAGGTACAGCCAGCCAGGAGCAAAGGGAATCTTAATACCCAAGCTGTGGAAAAACCATGGGGAAAATGGATTGTGGGATACTGAATGCTGGGTGTTTAGATCTCTAGAGCATCTGGTGTCCCAAGCAAGCAAGGGATGTGTCAGGATAGACGTGATGGCTCAGGAACCCTCATTGAAAAGAGCGTCTCTTGATGAACAATTGTCAGCTGAGATGATGTAAAAATGGGGCTGGAGAAAGGACTGGTCTGGTCTAGGGCTTGGCAATATTCCATGAAGGGGTTTTTAAGGAAAAAATAGGTCGCCTCTCCAGGGCTGGCTGGGTGATGCCTTGGGTGAGAGGAATGGCATTTGCTCACCAGCTCTCGAGATCGTTTTCAAACAGGTTGTGATCAAGTCAGGATAAAATGTCCCTAAACAAGGTGCTTTGGGGTCAGCCTGGCTGTAGAGCAGCTCCTGGGAAAGAAATGTGGTGATGGATTGGGAATTTGTCAGCTGTATTATGGGCTTGCAGCAGAACAAGCCAACTGCAAGTGCAATCCTTGGTTGTCCAAAGATCTCTGGTACTCCATGTTCATGGAATGCTCCTTTAGTTTCTCTTGGCACGGGCAAAGCTTGTGTGATGTCCAGCTTTTGGCAGTGAGTTTTGAGAAGGGAAGTTGTGGGTTGTTGGAGCAGGAACAAAGAGAATGGGCTGGAAGGCATGGCCTGGGAGGAAAGGTCTCACTGCCGACACTCGGTGAGCCAGTATAAGGGAAATCATGGAATCATGAAGGCTGGAAAAGCCCTCTAAGGTCACCAAGTCCAGCTGTTAACCCAGGACTGCCAGAGCCACCACTAACCCGTGTCCCCAGAAATGCTGCTTTGTACAGTCTGTTGACTTCTCACAGCTCCCTTGGCCAGAATTTAGTAACTCCTGATCTAGAGGAGGTGGGAGGGAATTATTTTTATACAGTTTTGCTGGAAACAGGACAGGAATTTCACCAAAGGAGCATTGGGTTGGATTTTTCACAGAGACAGTGCTCAACCATTGGAATGGGCTACCCAGGGAGGGGGTGGAGTCACCGTCCCTGGCGGTGTTGAAGGTGAGACTGGATGTGGCATCAGTGCCATGGGCTGGGAACCACTGCGGGGTTGGATCAAGGGTTGGACTTGATGATCCCGGAGGTCTTTTCCAACCCATTTGATTCTGGGACAGAATGAGGGGCTGGGAAAGGCAAGACCTCGGTGGCAGCCGGAGGCGCTGGGGCCAGGCTGGTGGACTGACTGCAGTTGGTCCTGCTCAGGGGTTGGCCCTGATGATTTTTGACATCTTGAGGGCTCCGTTTTCAGATGTTTCGCGCCACAATGAGGCTGGAATAGGGACGTGCTGGGATGAGGAACCTCCCCACTTCCCTTCCTCTGCTTGTTTCAGGTCACCTTCTATGAAGACAAGAACTTCCTCGGCCGCTACTACGAGTGTGACAGCGACTGCCCCGACTTCCACACCTACCTGAGCCGCTGCAACTCGATCCGTGTGGATGGAGGCACCTGGGTGGCCTACGAGAGGCCCAACTACGCGGGGAACATGTACGTGCTGACACACGGCGAGTACCCCGACTACCACCACTGGATGGGCCTCAACGACCGCCTGGGCTCCTGCAAGTACATCCAGATCGTGAGTGTCACCTCTGCCTGAGGGCTGTGGGGATTTATTTATCGGGGAAGGGTTTCGTGTGGGTGACCCCCATCTTCCCGGGGACCCATGGAGAGGGTGGCTGTTGGGAGGATTTGTTCCTGCAGTCCTGCTCTGGGAATGGCAAAGTGTTTGGCGAGGGGAGAAGGTAAATCTTTCCCGCTCTGGACTGCAGATCCCTTTTTGAGTGGGGGTGGGTTTCCATAGGAACATCAGCCTGGTTTCATCTGCATGTTCCTTTAGGGACTTCGGTGTCCAGGCAGGTCGCTCAAAGGTTTGCCTTTTCCCTGGTGTGCTGCCAACTGATCCAACTGATGGGCACAAGGCCTGTAACAGTGGGACGTGGATTTTGCAGGAGCATTTTTTTTGAGGGCCAGTTTGTTCTTCTCTGGCAAACCAAGGCTCCTTTCTGATACAGGGAACTGGCTCTCAGTGTCATCAAACCCCTCTGGGCATGGAGAGATGAGCCCCAGGAGCAACCCTGGAGTGCCCAGCAGTGGGAGGGATGCCTGGAGCCCTCTTGGGCATGCTTGGAGCAGCCTGGTTTTAGGAGTGTGTCTCCCAGCTGCAGCACAGGAACTGTGCTCATCCCCTCCAAAACGATGATGGGGAGAAAGGAGTAGAGGGAATGATCCTTCTGGATAACCTCAGGGGAGAACTGGGAGTGTGGATGGAGTGTGGGTTGGTGCTGCTGCTGAGGTTTTGCCGGCAGTGGGACAGACACTGGTGATCCATGTGCAGCTGGCTTGGAGCACAGCCACGAATTCCCACTGCATGGAGCAGGTCTCACAGCTGAGAAGGGGTTTTCCTTTTCTGTCTGGGGGTCTAACACCTCTCTGAGCCTGTTCTGGGTTTGAGCCGAGTCGAAATCCCTTTGCAGAGGGCAGGGAGAGTTTCCAGCCCCTTCGGAGCACTGATCTGGCATAAGAGATGGAGCCAACACACGTGGGAGATGTAACACAGCTTCCCCCAGCAGGATGAAATGTGGGAGCCTTATCCTGCACTTCCACCTGGTACCTGGCTTTCCCTCCTGCCCTGGGGGAGACCCTGAGACCCCGCAGAGCGAGGAGGGAGCGGGCTGGGACGGCCGGGGAGGCGGGGGAAGGGGTGTCCAGGCAGATGCAGATTAAAAGCTGCCGCGGTGCCTTGGGGCGGAGCAGCGCTTCCAATCCTGGCAGGAAACACCCGCCCTGCTGCCCGACGGCCCCGCTGGGCTCAGCAGCTCGTTAAACTGCTCACTGCTGGAGAAGCTGGGCATAGAGGGGGGGGTTTGTCTCTCCAGACGCTCACAGGGGGTGGCTGAAGGGCTCAAGCCTGCCCAGGATAGCGATCCCGGCACTGCTGACCTGGCCTTATCCCTGTCCCTGCCTGCAGCCTCCACCCTGCAGAGCCAGGGCTGGGATGGGCTTTGAGCTGGAGCTGCTCTGCTCTGGCTCGGTGCTTCTGTACCCTCTGTGCACATCACCATTTACCCCCCTGCCTCCCTCCGGTGCTTTTGGGGTCTGACACAAGCTGTTCAGCCCTGGCCTGGTGTGCTGGGGGGTGGTTTGGACCTGACTGTGTTTGAGTCTTACTGTGCCCCAGCTCTGCTCTCACGTGCTGGTGACTGTCAGAGCCAGGACATGGGGATACCTCCCTCCCACACTTGGTCATCAGGGTGCCCAGAGAAGCTGTGGCTGCCCCATCCCTGGAAGTGTCCAAGGCCAGGCTGGACAGGGCTTGGAGCAACCTGGGCTAGTGGCAACCCCCCATGGCAGGGGGTGGGACTCAATGATCTTTAAGTCTCTTCCAACCCAAACAAAGCATTCCACGATTCCACGACTTTCTCTCCCTTTTTTCCAGCCGAGTGGAGGCCGGGGCCACATCCAGGTGTTCGAGAAGGGCGATTTCGGTGGGCAGATGTTCGAAGCCACCGAAGACTGCCCCTCTGTCATGGAGGAGTGGCACATGCGTGAGGTGCACGCCTGCAGGGTGCTGGAGGGCGTCTGGGTTTTCTACGAGCACCCCAACTACCGGGGCCGGCAGTACCTGCTGCCCAAGGGGGAGTACCGCAAGCCCGTGGAGTGGGGAGCGGCCAGTCCCGCCGTCCAGTCCTTCCGCAGCATCACCGAGTGAGCCGAGCCCGTGGGCTGGGCTGCCACAACCCCCCAATAAACAACTGAGTCGCTCAGCTCCTCCTTGTCCTGCTCATTCCCAGGATCTGCGCGTGGGTTTTCCTGCCTTTGGGGGGCCGGGGTGGAGCTGAGCCCGCTCCAAGCAAAGCAACTCCCGACAGCCCCGAGTGCCACTATCTCTGCTGCCATCCCCTTCCTCCTGGCCCCTAATCCCCTCCATCCCACTGCTCCTCTCCAGGAAAAAGCCATCTCAAAGCTGGAGCTTGTGCCCCAGCATTTGTCCCAGTGCTCCACCGGACTGGCCCACACATCCCCAGTTTTCAGGGCTGGCTGTGGGTGGCTTGGTCTGTTGTGTCCCTGGGGAGTCCCTGCCGGCTCTGCTGCTGCTCCACACTGTCTTGGGAGAAGGGATGAGGTTTTAATCCACACCATGTGCCCCCCTGGAGACCCTGAGTAGGCAGCAGATGTCCTGTTACTGGAGGGGTGTGTCCCTCTCGTGATGCACGGGGCCACAGGACTGGGAAAATGTGGGGATGGGAGCAGGGATCCCAGATGGAGCAGGAGGGGGACAGCCATAATCCCCATGGGAAATGCTGCGGACCTGGCAGCCCTGTCAGGCAACGGGTGTACCTTGTAGGTGGGAGCTGAGGGGTCCCCCTGCTTAAACTGGGGCTGAGCACTGCACGAAGGCAGGCAGCTGGAAGCAGGAGAGGGGCTGGATGTGGGATAGAGGCAGGGAGTGCCTCTGAGAGCTGCCTGGGATGAGAGGTGGCTGCTGGATGATCTTGAAGGGCAGGAAGAGCTCCTCGGGCACCTGAGATGTGCAGGAAGCAGAGGGGACTGTTGAGCCTCCAGTTTGCCAGCAGGAACATCCCATTTTTCCCAGTGCTGCTGGATGTCAGGCTGGTCCTGTGCACAACCTCCCGTGCAGGAATAACGGATGTCTGGGCACTCTCCCCTGGAGATCTGCAGCCTGTTTGCACACGGAGCCCAGGGGCCTCGGGATAATACCGCTGGATGTGGAAGCAGAGCCCTTCCAGCCGCGCTCCGCAGTCTCTTCCCGGTGATGTATGAGGTTATTACGGAGCAGGAGGCAGGTTAAGTGATGCTCGTCAAACCTCGGTGCTGCCACCCCCCGGGAATGCCAGCAGGGAACGGGAAGGGGCTGCCAAGAGGAGCAGCTCCCACTCCTGGACTTCCCCCAGCACAAACCAGGGCTGAAGAGAATCACCTTCCTCCTCCTCCTCCTCCTGCTGTCACCCCCCTCCCTCAGCCCCCTGCCCCATTCCAGCCCTTCCCTGCAGAGGGTGGTGCATCTTCCATCTCCATCCCGGATCAGCAGGATGCAGATGATCTAGCATTAGAGTTCTCAGTGTATTTTTCCCCAAAATATTCCCTCAGGACCAACCAGCTTCCAACTCCAGCTCCCCTTTTCCCCCTGGCTCCCAGGAAAGCTCTCCAAGTGTCTCCAAAGGCAGCAGCTCGAGCATAGCCTGGCTCCTGTTTCTTTTTCAGGGAGCCTGTTGCCATCCCCATTTTGGATGGAGGATCTCCTGCAGGCAGGCGTGCTCTGCCCAGTGCATTTCCAGCCACATCCCCCCCCGGATTTTGGGGAATGCTTGGTTGGGAAGTGTGTTCCCCACCCTACATGCCCTGCAATGGGGTTTGTCGGTGCCAGACCTGCAGTGGCGGGTTTGGGGCACATCCACCCCAGAGCATTGGAGGAGCCAGACCTGGATCTGCTTTACCCTTAAGGTAACATTTTCCATGTCCTTTACTTTCACTGCTGATCCACCCGCCTCAAAATCCCAGTTATCCCAACTCTTCCCTGCTCCTCCTCGTCCTCCGGGCTCTTGCCCTCGGGTGAACATTGCGTTGTGCTCGCAACCAACACGAGTAGCAATAAAATGTTCTACTTGGCAGGGGGTTTTATTATTTTTTATTTTATTATTCTTCTGGATGACTTTTTCCATCGGAGGCTCCCTTGCCATGGCAGCACAGGGAGCAGGACGCCCGTGGAGATGAGCGGGGAGTGCAGGCAATCCAAACCCAGCCTTGCTGATGCCGGTTTTTCCTTGACAGCTAATTTCCATTTCCCAGTATCAGGGGGTCTGCTCTGGTAATTGGCATGCAGATTGTGTCCGTGGGCCTCTTAGACACGAGCAAAGACTCTGGTGTTGGAATAAGCCAAGCCCAGGCTGATGGATGGGGTGTAGGGAGGTCATGGCGAGGGAGAATATCCAGGTGCCCGCGCATGCACACACCTATGAAATTCCCCATTCCGTGCCCTGCCCCCATCCCTACTATCTTTATCCAGCAAACTCTATCACATTGCATTGAGACAAATCCTGCTCCATTTCCCTATCTTTCCTTTTTTCCCTCTAAGGGAACTGTGATGGAACCTGCTCCTGGATTTCACACGGAGATGGCGCAGGAATTATGGCGGGGCCATGCTCCATTAGCAGCGGGGGATCACACGGAGCTGCCCCAGATGTTAATTACACTTTGGGAACTAATTGGTATAAGGCTTTGCTCTCCTCCATCGTCTGTAATCCGGAGGGTCTGTGAGGACCTCTGGAAGCAGAGACTGCCCGGCTGGTGTCTGTCCCCCCTCCTCAGCCCCCCCAGCGCCGGCCGTAACCGAGGGACACAGGCCTGGAAATCTCGGAGTCACCTTCACTTCCATCCCCTTGGTGCCCAAAGACCTGCTGTTATTTTTTCCTCTTTTCCTTCCTGTGCTGCCCTTCTCCAAGCTTTTCCTCCAGCTGCTGGGGAGAAGCAGGTCCGGTGGGATGGGGGAATGGTGGGAGGTGGCTCTGTGTTGAAGGAGGAGAGAATGGCCCTGTCAAAGCTGGTCATTCCCAGGGGATCCCTTTCTCCTGCTTCCTGACCCATCTTTGCTGGCCCATCCCTTCCCTCCAACTCTGGGGACAGATGGGAGAGCCTCAGTCTGCCCCCACAGCACCTCTGCTGCTGAAATGCCCTCAGTTCTCAAAAGAAAATGGTTTCCAGTCTCCTCCCTCTCCTTTTCCACCTTGGACTGAGCCTGATGAAATTCAAAAACTGCTAAAAAGCTGAGGGGGGGCTTTGTGCTGGAGGGCAGAAATGATATGCTTGGAAATGAGGAATATTCCTCTGAATGCTGCCAGTTTGTTCCTTTTTCTGAACCGCCTGGCTGTGGCCCAGCGTGGGACGGGGTTATCTCTGGGATGGAGCTGCACATCCTCGAGTTCCTGCCTGGAGATTCCTGCACGGCCCCAGTGGGACACTTCTACTCAGCTTTGCCCTCCCCAAAATTGCTCCCAGGCCCTAATGGTGGGACATGGAGCTCTCACCACCCTGGTGTGACACAACCAGCCCCACACTCCCATGTTTTCCCTCCTCTTCCAGCGCCCTCAGGACTTTGTGGATCTTGCTGTTGCTGATGCTCTTTGGTCTCGGGGCATCAGCAGCTTGAGGCACCTTTTCCCTGCCATTAATGGATGAGACACAGCCTCCATTCAATCCCACCCCTGGAAGGGTTCAAAAGGCACGTGGATTTGGCAATTTGAGGTGGAGATGTGGAAAACCAAAGCCATTCAAGGCTTCTTTGGTAGGACTGAAAGAAAAACAATGTTTTCATAACTCCAAAATTAATTGGTTTGGGGTTGGATGGAGAAGGAAGAAGAGATGTTTAAACCCTTTTCTTTAAGCTTTTTTGATTTTGGGTCTTGTTTTTAGGTTTAATGGTGGGCTTGGCAGTGCTGGGGGGACAGCTGGACTCGATCTTAGAGGGCTTTTCCAACCTAAACAATTCTGTGATTCTATGATTTCATGATGCCGCGATTCCGTGATTCCATCATTCTGTGATTCCATGATTCTATGATTTCACGATTCTGTGATTTTATGATTCTACAATTCTATGATGTCAGGATTCCATGACTTTCTGATTCTGTGATTCCATGATTCTAGGATTCCTTGATTCTATGATTTCTGGTTCTGCCATTTCGTGCGCCCACAATTGTCTCCTACCATGATTCCATGACTCAGGGCAGCACCCCACTGCTGCCTGCTTCCCTGGGAGCACTGCCCTGCTTCCCACCATGTCCTCCCTGAATCCAAAGCCCCTGGTTCAGGGATTCAGCCCCCACCTTCTCCCCTACCTGGGCAGTCTGAAGCTCCTCCCCAGTGACTACAGCACCTATTTTGGGAGTGTGGCCCTTCCAGATCTCCTGTTCCCCTCTGTTTCATGTACAAACCACCCTCTGCATTCCCTGTTGGCCCCGGGTGAGAGGCAAAGCTCACACGGAGCAAAGGGTTCAGGATGCTCAGGACAAGCTCCTTCCATCCCGCTCTGAGCTTGGGGAAAAAGTCTGGCCCAGTTCTGGGCATGAAGAGCTCCGGAGCTGGTTTTTATCTCGCACACAACCATGTCAAGGAGAGGGAAGGAGAGGAGAGGAGAGGGAAAGGGAGAGGAGGCACTTCCCGGGGCACCGTCCTTCCCTTTGCCAGCGCCCGGCAGAGGGCAATCGAAGCAAATGGAAGAGACGGGACCTGGCGGTGGATGAGCGAGAGGAGCAGATTCCAGGAAGCGGAGGGATGTGCAAGAGGATGTCCAGGCAGAGGGATGCGATGAGGGGAATGTGCGCCCGGAGCGCTGGGCAGGGAGCGGGGCTGGAGCGGTGCTGGAGAAGGAGGTCGGAACAAAACAGGGCAATTCAAGGCTATTATTTTAGGAGTTGAAGTGATGCTTTTCTAACTCCAAAATTATTCTCTTCGGGCTTGAATGGAGAAGGAAGGGGCAATATTTAACCCTTTTGTTCAAACTTTCTTGATTTTAGGTCAGCGTTTATGAAAAGTGAGCACCTTCAGCAGATGGTGCAGGGAGGAAAGGGTTGGAGAGTCCCCAGCCTCGATTATATTCCACCTGATCCATTGTGTGACTGCGCCCAGCTCTGTTTCTGGATGCTCTGGTCCCTCAGAAATCAGATTCCACCATAGTCACACGTGCCTGGGGGGAAACATCAGGGAAAAGTTGGACAGAGCGTCTCTTCCACCTCCCC